CGCAAAAAAAAAAAAAAAAGAAAAAAAAGTGAGTGAGATATATATTTCCTATGTATGTCTACTATTTTTCTTAGATTGATGTTTTACCTGAGGTGGTGCGTGCCGTGAATGGCCAGTGTGAAGTCTACTTGGATGGGGGTGTCAGAACAGGCACAGATGTACTAAAAGCTCTGGCATTAGGAGCTAAAGCAGTTTTCATTGGTAGACCTGCACTGTATGGGCTGGCCTATGATGTAAGAATACCTATAATAAGTTATATTTTCTTACCCAAATTTGCATCAAATAACAGACTAGAGATGTAGAAGTTTTACCAGATTTTGTTTCTTTTAAATTTTTCCTTACAGTCCAACCAAATGAGTTCAAAAATGTTTCCTATAAATTCCCAACAGCCTATGCTTCTTGTCAGCCTTATATTCTTTTCAATATTTAGGGTGAGGCAGGTGTGAAGACAATTCTCCAGATTCTTAGAGATGAGCTAAGCTTAGCCATGGCCCTAGCAGGTACAGTTTGCCACTTGGAGAAGTTATTGGGGGGAGGGTGAATCCTAGCTTTCTTTTTAAAAGCATAATTTTCCACTTACTAATTTTAGCAGGATTTGCTGATCATCCTGTGCAAGCCATTGCCATAATGCTTAATACCCATAGATAGATTTTTCACTAGATATTCAAAGGTTTTTCTCAGGCTAATTCCATGCACATCTCTCTGGTAGAGGGTAAATTCTTGAAAAGTCTAATAGCATTTCATGCATTAATATATATGTTCAAGTCAGCATCATGAAGTATGATTAACTCTGTAACTTATGTCATTCTTTTTTTCTTGTTTTCTAGGAAAATAATTTGTTGTAGTATAAACACTCCTTAAGACAGTTTTATCTCATATTTGATGTCACAATTTTGCAACTGAAGAAGTAATAGGGTATCATATATGTTGAGTTTTAAGTGATATATTATTTCATTTTTTTTTTCAGGTTGTGCCAGCTTATCTGACATTAACAGTTCTTTGGTGGTGCATCAGTCATATTATCTTCATCCAAAACTGTAAACTGACACAAGCAAGGGTAATGGTACAAGACTGTGATAACACAGAGATTTGATGGGTTTTCAGCCCAAGCCCAAATTTATCCAATTTAATGATCACCCTGTAATACACACTTCCACATCATTCTTTGTTAAAAAAGTCCAGAGTTGGCAAATGGCCACATAACCATGAAAATTATCAAAATTTTAGTAGCATTTTTTAGAGTTTTATGTTTTTACATACATAAAGATAATATTTAGTGAAAAATTTAAACATATATGATAACGATGCATGGTGTGGCCAGTACTACATCATTTATGGTACTTTTACCAATTGGAGGAATGAATAAATAGGTCACTTTACAACCAATATTTTGAAGAATGTGCAGTTTTAAAGCTTTTTTTGGCAGAACGAAGGATTGATTTATTTATATTATGACTTGGCATGTTGAATTTATTTTAGTTGTTTTCGAAACTAGTGGAAATGGTTTGCATGCGTCGCTTGATATCTCAAATACTTTATATATGTATCTTTTCATAAATGTTTTCTTCCACTGTATTCACATAACTTATATAATTATTTCACAGTATTCACATAATCTATTGAAATTTAAAGTATAAATATATTTTTTCTTAAACTTTGATGTTCTTCATGGCTTCTTTGTTTATACATATAAATTGTAAAAGGATATTTGCACAAAGAAATACTTTTTCATTAAACACCCAGTTTCAGTGCTTAAATATTGTGGTTGATATAGCAGGCACAATGGTACATTTTGTTGAAGATTAATTTTACATGTACCAACACATCTGTTATGATTCTAATAAAGAAACATTATGTAAACAAGTAAGCACCAAGACAATGTGTTACTGTGTCTATTTTTAAGTATTCCTGTGCAATGAGAGGTCCAAGGTTGTCTAAAATAAATAAATAAATAAATAATAAAAAAAGAAAAAATAATAAAAAAGGGGGAGGGGGGCAGTCTGTTAAAAACCAACCAACTCCTAAAGAGATTGCGCCATTTAAACATTGCCTTCTCTAACACAACCAAACTCGGCAAAGCCGCCAGGCTCGTATTATAAATGAGTTCCATTATCTTCTGGTATTTGGAATTTTATTTCTTATCTGTCTAAGAACCAACCCATCGAGACTGTTGGAGTAAACAAAGAAGATAAGAAAGCGTGTCGGCCCTTGTTTTAAACGTGAGTCCTCAAATCATGTAAAATCGGTTCTCCCTCAAACCGACGTAAGTGCATACTTGTGATGTTTTTTTTTAAATATTCGTTTGTTTCTGTAAACACATTTTTTGCGTTTAATATGCTGTAATTTTTATCTTTTAAAAGCTAGATAGTTTCAAGAATTGATCAGATGTACAATTAATTATTTTATAGCAGGTGAGCAATTCACGCAAAATCAATTTTCTCATACTTGTCTCACTGTGACTACTAGCTGTAGTGTCGATTACGAAAAAGGAGAAAATCTATCGTTACACATGAGGAAAAAAATATTGCCAGCGGAACATTTTCTCTAAATAAAAGTGTTACTCCCAGCCATTGTGAATAAAGGAATTCTCATTATATTAATTTCATTAAAACAAGATGTTACCGTTTCGAACCAAACGGAGAGATTAATACATATGGATATATAACAAGTCGACTTTAAATAGAATTTTTTTTCGAGGTGTTCTCAAAGTGATTTTATCAAGGCCAACTTATAATGAACATTATCTAGCTCCTGTTGTGAAAAAAAATAAAAACGCAAAGGCTGCAGATCTTAAAGTGGAGCCTAAATATGTATATTGATTTACGGTTTGTTTACATTCAATTCAAAAAAGTATGCCAAAACTCCCTTTGTAATTGTTACATTTGAAATAATTTAGACTGTAACTTGACCCGAAACGTGATCTTAAATGACGCTGATTTTTTTCAATACATCAATATACCTGACAGGCCTCCTCACAAACCTGAACCGATATTCTTATGCGCCAGGTGTGAAGAAAAAAGTTCGTTTGCATTCTTAGCAGATTTATTTCTACCAAGGTACGAAGAGAAAAGACAACTGGTAAAATTTGAATGGGAACAGTCAGCATAGCAATATAATAAAGACGTTTAACCGCACGCACCTTTCAAATGTGATCCTGGCACGTGAGGTTTCCCCCCTCTCCGCGAAGTAATATTTATTGAACAGATGACCGCACTATTTTCAGACGATAAACTGTAGGGTGCATGGTGTTCGTGTTGTGAAGTGATGGCGACGTTCACAAGTACAGGGACTACTCCAGCAGTAGCTGACATGAACTCGTATAGGAACGCCGCAGCACCTGCTAACACTGTCCACAACAATACTTCACCGGGAAATCATGCTGTGAACTTTCACACACCAACGAAACGAGATGAAGTGCATGAACAGAAACAGAAATATTTTACAGCAAAATATGGAGCACAGCAAATGGTTTTAATTCGAAAGAGACTTAAAGTGGAAGATTGGGTTGACGATCAGTTAAGGGATTTATATGACTGTGAAGTAAGTATCCAGACTATATAACATAGGATGTAAGTGTCCTTCTACATGTACAGACCAAAACGTGACAGATGGGAGACCAGTGGCGCCCGTACCATGTTGTCATGTATACACTGTATTATACAGGTTTACACATGATATTTTCCTGATCATCTAAACATTTGACACACACACACACACACACACACACACACACACACACACACAGCCACGAATCTTAGCATAAATAATTGGTTGATGGAGATCATCTTGATTTATTTCGTTCGCTGTAAAGTTATTTAATGTGTTACGATATCTTGCATTTTATTAAACGGCCCTTTTAAATGATTTAGGCCTTAATGTTGCCCAGATAGAAAACAATGTATGTATTTATAAAAAATCACCACATACACTTGAACAAACTGGCAGACAAAGACGTCAACCACTGTTTCAAAGCATCCCAGCAAAGTGCTTACCTATGTGGAGTAATAAGCATTTTAATTGGATAAAAATTATTTTGGTATGATCAAAATGGACAATTTTTACCAAAATATGATGTTTATAACTTAGAGTTAAAATAGTTCAAGAGCTTGCCTATATAAGTCTGTTTACACCTTTAGCATTATGAAATGATTTTAATCCACTGTTAAGTTCTAAGCATTTTTGTGATGATTTTGGCTAATACACCAATCCAAGTCTAGAAGAAAAAAAAAAGTTGTCTTTAATTTGAAGACAGACTTTCAATTGACTGGTGGTAGGTAAAACATTTACATGTGCTCCAGCTTAGGAATGATATTTNATGCTCCAGCTTAGGAATGATATATAACACACATATACATCAATGATAAATTTATTTACATGTTTAGCATGATAATGGAAATAGGTAACAATCTCAAGCATTATACATGCCCCCCCATCCCTTGAAAACTAAACATTGTTGTCTTAAAGATAGACTTTTATTAGATAACCTGTACTAATCATTGTCTCATCACATAGGTCTTTTAAGTAATGGTATGCCCACTCCTAGCTAAAAAATGGGTATTTACCTCAGGCAAATATAATTGATTGGTATTTACCCCAGGCAAAAATAATTGCCCCATAAAATTTAGGTGCAGTGAGGTCCAACTTGAATATTACATACTGTGTTAAGATAGACTTGTGTTTTAATAAAGACATATCTGCCAAATTAGACCACCTGTCAGATGGTTGTTATGGGGTTAAACTACTTAACATAAGTATACTATGATATAGTTGAGTGCTCTTCTTTAGTGAGGACAATCACACAATGGCTTAAGGTCATAAAATGCACTCATACATTGGGATTTTAAAATAAATTGTTTTAACATAAGTCAGTGAGATATTTCTGCCAGGCATAAACCTCCTAGTTCAAATCTTACCAAAGGTTCTAATTTGCGATGAGTCATTTCGCCATGTTCAATCTCATGGTAACAGCTGGAAATTACTTGTGACACTTCAGGCTATTTTTGCCAATAATCACATACATGTTATGTCCTGCCTCTCAAGTTCCTTCTGTTCCAAACACATTGAAACAAAAAAATCATTATTTTATTTAGTAATACTATACCCATGTGAAAAGTTGCTGAGTATGTATGAACTGTAGCAAGGGATGCCGTTATTTAAAAGTGGAACTTTGACTGATAATCATGGGTTTTAAACCTTGATTACTTTCTCCAGGTCATACAACATTTAAAAAGGCTTCTGTAGTCTGATTGTTCTGTATTATGAATAATTGAAAGCAACATCACTCATGAGAATTTGTTTTGTGGTCAAAATGCTGCCAGCTTCATGTAATGGATCAAGACTGATCTCAAGTGCCACCTAGTATATATACACTGTAGGGCACTGTATTATTTGGCTTTTAACTCTAAATTAAGAGAGCTTGAAGGAAGCTGTATTTTTAGCTAGATGGATTCTGAATCACGGTCTGGATTCTGTGTGGTAGGTCAGCACGGGAAAATTAGGGTTCTCACTCTGGAGATACAGGGTTATTTGTCTAATGGTTAATAACAAACAAATGCCACATGGACCAGGAGAAGTGCACACATGCCACTAGAGTTACTCATCTATGAACAGACTTTTCTTTCTTTCGTTGCAAGAAAATTTCAGGAGTTCTTTATTTTCTGGAGATCTAATTTGTAAACCTCAACCTTCTGAGTAATGAATATCAAAATAACATGCCAAATTGATTGGATTTATTCAGTTCCTTATACCCCAGTAGTGTATTTCATGTGCATTGATCTCAGTTTGTTAGAGATATATTGATGGAATTGCAGTCCATTGAAATTATTAATCATTATGTAACCTCTCTTGCAATTAAGTTTAATGGGAGGTCTTTCATTATCAACTTTTCTGGACATTTTAACTCAAACTTCCAAGACTTTATTAGGTTCCATTTTTACATAAGAATGAATAAGGCTTTTAGGTGTCCACACTAAGTCCAAATGGGTCGAATGGTATAATTCCTCCTTGTCTTTTTTGGCCTCGGGAAGTGTTTGTTCTTCTTTGCAGCAGGTCATTTACATACAATGGAATAGAAATTCAAATATTAATGTAATTCAGTCATTCTTGTGGGGTTCAAATGCAAGGTTTACATAGGTATTTACATGACCTATATATCTTGAATTGAAGGCAATATAAACACTACCTTTGGTTCTGCATAAGCTACAGCAATTAAACATGTGCAGTGAATATTGGAGAGTTAGGGCATAATTCAGAGGGGCCCATATGATTTCACTGGGACCCCATCAGAAAGAGATGCCTAGAACTAAAAAGTAGACACATTTATCTAAGGCAATAAACTCTGATCAAGTTGTGATGTAGTCCATTACACAAACTGTAGAATTAATAATTTATCAATCTATATATTAGACTTGTACCTGAAATATTTATATGCGTAACTGTATACAAAAAAAATTTTATTGGATTAAACATAAAAGATTTCTACCAGTGTACAAAGCAGTTGTACTTTATGGTAAATAGTCTTGCTTAGAGAGATTGATACAGTGTATAAAATGAGTCAAGATTTGTAAAAAAAAAAAAGTATGTTTTAGAAAAAGGTATGGCACCGGTATTGGTTCTTAACAGCAATTGACACTGGACTACATGTAGGTTTTATCAATATCATTGAGTGCATATATCCTAGATTTTTTGCACTCTGACTCAGTATAAATAACATCCTTGTTTCCATAATTATAGAGGGGCATAAAAAACTAATGAGATTGTTATTCATTGACAATGTTTATTTCATCTTGCATCCTTTAGATCCTTTAGTTTTCCCTCATGTTTTATGTAATAATGATATTGACATTTTCATGTAAGTTGGGATGGGAATTGCACACATTTTTCAAAGATAAAAGATATCCTTTGGTGTCAGCGGGTGAGATATGGGTACTGTGTTCACCCCTTTGCCCACCTGTTTAACCTTGATAACACAGGTAAAATTATAGAGCTCCGCCACCTGTGTCTGCTCCTGTAACACCTGAAGGTGTCCTTTTGGAGATCATGTGGTTTCATTAGACATGTAATTTTGAAAAGTAACATCGGTTCATTGCACAGTTACAAGTTATATAAGATATCTTAAAGCTGACCTGACACATTTACTTTGGTGAAAGCATTTAAATAAAGAAAAATGTGACAGTGGCAGAGTATATGTCAGTCAAACGCTTCCACCATCTATTTGTATTTGCGGATTTGATATTTGGATTACCACATTGGTCCATTTTTGTTTGTTGTTCGTCTCAGCCAATTGTTTGCTATATTCTGCTCTATGTAGTTTGTGAAGATTATTTGGGCGTTCACGTGTAAGCCAACTCTTACATCAGTCAATAAATAAGACTCTTCATATACGAAAACATGGTAGTATTTCACACTTTGAGCCAAAGTGTACACATTTTGTAATGTGTCAGTTTTTGTTGGATTAAATGCTGTTTTGAAGAATGTTGAAATTTTGATAGAACGTAGGCTTAAAAATACAGCCGAGAATACAACCCACAAATGAGTACTAAAATAGTAATGAGAAAACTATTTAACATTACTATGGAATGTTGATATTGTTCAAAACCTCTTTGTGATAAAGCCATTTCAACTTCAGCTGAGATCTTTTTTTCTGAAGTTGTTTGCATTCAGGTAGTCAAACTTCCATTAAAGTAGCTTGCACAGATATTAAAAAATTGCCTTGTGGCACTGTGCTTGCAACTTGATGTTCATGAAAAGTAGTAAACCAAGTGTGTGCCAGACAGTAAAGCTCTGGCAGTTCTTATTTAGGTATTTGTCATCACTTATCTTCAGACTTCCTGATAGTTTCTGGCTTATACCTTCCCATAGGACCTTTCTGATAGGGAACTAGTACTGGGATTAGCATACTGATTTATTACCTCTGTCTTTATGCTGGTGACGGTAGGGTTTACCAGGTATCAGGTGTAGGCTTCTCCATTTTGTACAAAAACACCATTTCCAGTCATGTTGACTCTGCATAACTTAATTAGTTCCAAGCTCTAAGTATATCAGCTGATGGAGTGACTATTTAATTTCTGACCTTATAGAGGATGTGGGGCAATTAAAAAGTTTTTAGCCTTACTCGGAAAGTGTATGGAGTGGTTATCCATCTTAAGAATACCATATTTATTTTGTTTTGATGTGAAATTTTGACACGGTGTGTCACTGATGAGACTTTTCCTACTTTTGTCAGAATTCTGACTTTTTCAGGGTCATTTGGGTCATTATTGTGAATCTTGTACCCTGGACCCCTGGCCATTTTTCCTACTTTTTCAGTGAGGACTGGTTTCATCCCTGTGTATATGGTTGCTGATGCTATATGGCCCCATTCCCATAGACACAATATACTCCTATAATCACCAACTTTTCTGTTTTCTAGTACTTGTATTCTACTCTTTGCCAGGAGAAGAAGTGTCATTCTGTTATGCTGATTGCAGTCAGTGAGTGGGAGGTTTACTGCACCATTACAACTGGACAAGAAATTCAGCCAATATTGAACTGTTTGTTTTAGCAGAAAATTGCCAGTGGCCCAACCAGTTTAAATATTACCTTCCTCTTTCTAGATTAATGCCATGTGGGACAGTAGAACTTCTGTTCTTCTCCCTACCAGCAGCTCCATCTTTATGAGGTCATGCCCATTTTATAGCAGGTCTGCCATAAGCAAAACAATAACCACCATCTGATGAATGAAAATAATGAAAGGGATTTAAATAGCTGATGTACAGTGCTATATTTCTATAATCCAACTTTTTACACCACTGGGATCTCGGTGCACCATGGTGTACTATAATTGATCCCCCCCCAACACATGCACATGCACATGTGCCCACACACATCAATGGTTGGCCTATGACCAGTCTGTTTTGATACTGATCCTGATTGATACCCATCTTGATTACCTGATTAAATATACAGAAAGATATCCAGTCAGAGGTAATCCTGTCAATTTTCAAACATTGAAGATGCATGCCAGGGGTGTGGCTGAAAAGACACATAAATGGAAAAGAGATCATCAGATTTGCTGCTTTTATAAAAATCACCATAAACTTCATGGCACAGTTCTGCGTGTTTTTCTGAATAAAAATTGCTGTAGATATGGAGGTAAAATTCACTGACATCTATATAAAGTTTAAACAATAAGATGTACATAATGTATTACATTACATTACTGTTGCCATTTTAATGAGCAAAATGGCAACAGAATGTTCATGTAATTCTCATGGGTGCTTCCTATAACTTCAGGGAAATTACTGTGACAATTTTGTGCACATGGGGTGTGTAGGCTGGTCTACACTTTTCTCAACATTTTGTTTAATGTCACACAAATACACAATTTAACATCTATAGACTTTTCAAAATATTTGGGGGTAGGGTCAGAGAGCTCCAAAATTCTGCTTGCGGGGGATTGGGGTGGGGGGTGGGGGAGACCACCCCCTTTAAACCACTATCTCTGACCAGACATGTGTAAGCCACATTCATTCATGCCTCGCAATGGTGTAAATATCACATGCACCACACACTGACAAGGGGTGTATATATATCACATGGACCATGCACTGACAATTGGCTGTGTGTATCTGTTTACTTATCTGTCAGTACAGGACACCATGTTCTGGTGTAATAAGTGCTGTATAGGGATATCTTTTGATGTATCTTGATTTCTGTGGACTCCTAAGATGTGTTTGTGGGCTTAATAGTGATTCCCCATGAGGGCATCATTATTATCTGACAATAACAACTTGTTTGTGATGTGTGGAATCGGCCACTGGTACTGTGTGGAACACGTTAAATGATCTGTGACAAATTATTAAGTGACATGTAATGAAAAAATGTCTCAGTTGAAGTTTTAAAGTTATCCAGTTCCATTTATTTATTTATATGACTTCTTAATTTATTTTTTTGTTATTCTGTCAGTGTTGGTGGCACAGTTGGATAGCATCTGAATTTGAAAGCAAGCTTTCTGTGATGATACCACCATAGGACTAATAATCTGTAAAATTATTTTATTTATTTGGTGTTAGGGTATGTCAGATACACATCAAAGACAGCATGTGGCTGTAAAGCTTGGTTTTATTTAGAGCATGATGCATTATGTCTACAGATAAATTCTCCAGTGACAGGAGTTAAATGATTCATCAATCAGAGATGAGGTGATACAGGGTCCCAGTTGACAATTTTCATGTAGGTTGACAAGTTACATTTCCCTACATGTCTTAATATCCTCTATACTGTCACAGTGTGAAATAATCATCTTTACATAAGGAGTGAAGATTATCTTCTCAATAATATATGTCCTACTTCCATTGTACTTTCATAAACATGATGTTATTTTGATTACATTGACATCATTTAGATGCAAGCTGTCACAAATATGCCAATTATTTATACTGAAGTAAAATTGTGGCATAGTTTACCTGAATAGAATGGCCTGTCTGTATTACAAATTATAGATAATTGTTTTTTGAACAGAATTGACCTGATCCCATCTATCGGGTATCAGAATCAAGCACTATTTGTAATATGAGAAATAAGACGTGGATAATTGTGCACTAACAAATTGGTCCACTGCACCCAATGTGGTGCATTCATTTATACAGCCTTGGCAAGTGACCAGGGACCATACTTTGTTGTTTGTTTGCCCACATTCATGCTGACCATGCACTGCACATAACTACTTTCAATCAATTAGGTTTCTTGAATCACACATATTGGGTTTGACGAGGATGTAGAATTTTAGGGACAGCAAACTTTATTTTATTGATGCGCAGCCTTGTTTATTTGTCTCCTGTAACTAGCCCTCTCCTATACCGTTAATATAGTTATGTGCAATACAAGGCATGTAAAGCCCCAATAGGTGTATTGTAGAATGTTTCTGGTTTACAATATATGATGAATATTACGGTTTGTAGATACAATATATGAGGTAATACATCCCCCCCTCCCCAAAAAAAAGGCAAACTTTTACTGTGACCCATAAAGAACAACAGTTGAATGATTGATTTTTTTTTTTTGTCCAAAGGCAGCTTTTTTTTTTTTTTTTTTTTTTTTTTTTGCTTTTCACAAGCTTGCAATATAATAATCATGGTATTTATCATGGTATCTGGGTCAAAATAAGGTTATGGACAAAATAAGTGATATATATTTAAAAGTTCAGATTTCTAGTAATTCAACTCATTGAAATATCTTTTTGAAATGCTTATCAGAAAAAAAATCCATCAGTGGCACCGAACAGAGAATTCTAATTTTATTATTTTCCATTTCATTTCAGGATGATGCTGATACTTATGACTGTGAAATAGATTTGGATGAAGTTTTAGATTTAGATACAGATAATGAGAAAAGACAATTTATATGGGTAAGTAAGTGTTATGTACATCTCCCGTATTGCACCCGAAGGTAGTATTTAATGACTGTAAAAAACCTTGCTTGAATATTTAATGCTTATCACAGTGCTTTGCCTGCAGTTTATGACCTATGGTGTGATAGGAAAAGAATTTGAGTTATTTTGAAACTTGCTTTTTATGAGTTTTTTATAACACTGTAAAGTAGTTGGAAGTCGCATCTTGAATGAAATAACTCTATGAAATTTAGATCAGTGTAAAAACCAATTTTGTGCCATTCTGTCAGTATTAAATCTTGTAAACTAAATTTTGTAAGATTGAACTTGAATTTGCATGTTTATATTTTAGGATATTTTAAGTTAACATGAAAGAGAAAAGATCCTTCAATAGAAAATTGAACATTTGAGAACCCCTGAAAAATGTTTTGATTACAATTTTTTTCCACCACAATCCTCTATACTTTGCATTTAAGTGGTCCAATAGAGCACTGTGGGTGCATTTCTGTTTGTATTATCGTTCAGGTTCACAGATTAAGGTGGGATTTGTGATGGTAGACTTGTAGTAAAAGATGGAATATTGACCTGGTTTGTACTATTGTGTGCTGGAAAAATTGTAGATGCCTGTGATCTACTCTCACGTTACAGTGGTCTCTTAGTTACAGTGATATTTCTGATAAAATATTGAAGGAGAATGTGTTGGATGTCAGATTATAACAGAAGTTTGTGACAGCAACTGTCTCACAATGTAGAGATCCCATATGATTAGTTTATTCTTTGAAGATGCATTTGAAGTGTTGCAGAAAATGTATACAAAAATACCCTCTTTCACATCATCAGGCAATCTAAATGGCAAGGATATCTTAATCATTTTTGTTTACAACCTTCACTTATAACCATCCTTTCCAATGTTGAAAGTCATATATTATAACACCAACCTTGCAAGAAACCAGATTTATATTTAAGAGATAACTACACTTGTTTTGAAAAACAACAAAAATATTATCATGATCAATGCAAAACAGTTGCTATGTTATATGTTATAATAAGAAGTTTTGGCATGTTTATTCTCTTTTAGAAGGAAGTTAACATGCTCTCTCTCTCTCTCTCTCTCTCTTGAAGTAGTAGTAAAAGATGAGCGCAGTGAATGAGATGAGAGCTCACTAACTGATCTGAAGACTGTAGTATAAAACTGAATCCAGAAAACCACACAAAAGTACCCTTTTTGGCAAAACTATTTCTCATGATTTTGATAGCACTTCATCTCAACACATATAATTATTTATATGACACATATCTGGTTTTAATGCATCTTTAAATGTTAAAATCTCCAGAAATGGTTTATTCTGGTCAGGCCATTGTCAATGTCCTTTCTTAATAGGTGGTCATATTTGATAATCCTTACACTTTGGAATGGTTTGAAATAGTTATTATGTTTAAAAGTTACTCATTGTCTTATTCATTGGTGTATTTAGTTTTTAGATGTTTGAAGATTTCATAAGATTTAATTTAGAACTTTTACTTTTACTTAGGAAAAAGTGTCAAATGCACCGCAGTCTCAAGAAGTGCTGTCTGTAAGTATATATACTGCATAAAAAAAGGTGACACTTTTATAGATAAAATTTTGCTCTTAGTGTGGTCCCTCCCTTTTTGTCTTGATTTCTGTATTATCTTATTGATTTCTGTATTATCTTGTATTAAAATTAAAGTTAACCAAAGTATGTATTGAATATCTTCATGATTGATATAAATTACTATTTGTCCAATTTCATTTCACACTTATTCCTAGATTGCCCTTGAATTCTGGTAAATTTTTTTCACACACAAGATTTTTTTTTTTTTTTTTTTTTTGGTAAAAATAAAACCATTGATTTTAGTTGAAGCTGTGTGTAAACATTCATTGTCTGCTCTTTTTTTCCAGAAATTTATTGAAGAACTGTTAGAAAGGACAAAGACGTTATAGAACTTGATAAACCACCATTATGGATTAAACAATGGACTGATGTATTACTGGGAATCCACTGTATATAACCAAGAGTTGACATCTTCAGAACTTAATTGACTCCTAGCTATGTGGACATGGATCAGATACGTTTCATATGATTTAATTTTTTCTGAAAAAGCATGAATTTGCTGTTCTCTGTATCTCAGAAATCCATTAAAGTTCTTTATCACCTCTTGTGGTCAGATTATTTGCTTACAACACTAATATTAAAAAGTTGGGTTTGAAAGGCAGTGGGTTTTGCTACAAGAATGTGGGTGCCTTCTCATCAGGATGTAATCACTTAATACTGCATTTATACCTCCATGTTTGGAGCCAAATTGTCATGGGTTCCAGTTTGTTCACATAGTGGATAGAGAGTGGGTAAAATTTATTGAAGAACATGCCAAAATCAAAATTGGGAGGACATGTACATGAGGGGATAAGTTTCCATGGTGACTATTATGTTTTTATTTAAAAAGTCATGTTCACAAACACAAGTGTGGTGTGTGAAGAACATGTTCCTCGGACAAGCTGCTCTTTATGAATTAGCCTTGGTGAATGTGACCATGTGCCAGTGAGCACTTTGTGACATTTCTTCCACAAGGAAACTGCTGTAGCTGTAGATGTGAAATGTTAAAATATTGTTTACAGCATTTATCTTGTACAGTTCTTGAATGTTATGGCAATCTCACTTTTACTTTGAAAACAACATACCAATAGGGTTTGATGATTTGTGCCTGAATTATATATAGCCTAGAAACTTCATATTATTTATAGAGGTTCACCAGTTACCTGTATGAGCACCATTATGTGTATGATAGTTTTGGAAAACTGGTATTTTCAAGTAGAAGTTGAGCAAATGCCTGACTAGTTAACCAAGGGCAGTGTGATTATGGATTGTTAACTATATTCTTTTAACCATCTCTTGTTTCTATATGTTATTGTTTTATCAGTATTGCATTTAATTTCATAGCAACATACGGGCAGCAAGGCCTGCCTTGATTATCTGCAATTTTTCAGACTACAAATAAGCATACATTTAGCTTGAAAATGTTCTCATTTAGTTTGCCAGATAAATGTCCTGTTACAAAATGGATGACTATGCATTGTTTTTTAATGTCATGCCCATGGCTATGTTCAACTGAAGTGGCCCCATGATGTATTGCCTCTCTCTTGGGTGTAAACTTCAGGTTATTGATCACTTGGCTGCATGGTCAAATGTCTCCAGTATGGATATACTGCAACTAAGCATTTAAGCAATGCAAGGCTGACTCTTGAATGGTAAATTTTTTGCCAAATGCCCAACAAATACAAATTTCAAATGCCAGTGTATTATTTTTGCTAAAATTTGCCAAAATAGTCATTGATTTGGTTCAAAAGTTTGATACAGTTAATACAGGTGATTTGACTAAAAGAAATAACGTCCTCAAGTCCTATCCCTGGGCTGGTTATAGGCTTTATTTAGAGCATACAGTAGGTATCTCTGCCAAATTTCGACTGAGCATTTCTGCAGGCAACTTGCATCTTACAAGGCCATTACCATAACTTTGAAATTTCGTTATGCGTTTTAGGCTGTATATATTTACTGTGACTGAAGGGGCTTCCCTACTAAACTGCTGAAATTTAGTTTTTAACAGAATACCTTGATCATTGGGTTTTCTTTATTATCATGATTTGTTTTTTACTCAATGTATTTATTATACATCTCTAGCCTGAAGGTTCTAAATAGTACATTCATTGGCTTGTTTTATGTAACTATTAGATGAATATAAAATTTAAGTTTTGTTACAGCTACTGTTTCAATATAAGATTCTTAAATGGTCATGGTTTTATTTGATAAAACTGGGTGTTGATTTATATAACAAGGCAGCAAAGCTGTCAAATGTACAGACAAAAAACAGGAAATAACTATGCACAAAATAGGCTACTGTCAATTCTGATGCAAAAGTACATTATGTTAAACTGCAAATTCAACATCAAATTTTAATTATGCTCAACAGGTAATACTAATGTAAGTAAAATGTGTAACAAGCATAAGGCTTCAGGCCCATGGCAGTTCAAGTTCACACTTTGAAAATGTATAACTTCCAGAAAAAGAAGCCAATTAGACTGCTTTTCCAACTCAGGCTGCATTTTAGTCCTGTATTTCTTTTTTGAACGTTTGGCAATCATCAGTAACATGGTTTTCCCATAATGGTCATCATGGCAGCAGCACCCAAAATTGTGTTTTCTTCTATTCTGATGCAATATTACAATGGTTAACAGCATAATGACCGTCAATTTTTAATAATAAAATATACGTATCTTGGATTTTCAGAAAATGTGACTAGCATGGGTCTTCAAGCCCATGGAACTTCAAAGTCACACCTTGAAAATGCCAATATGTGAAAAATTAAATTTTCACAAAAAAAAACTGTTTAACTAGCAGAAAGAATTACCAAACAGACTGCATTGCCTACTGAAGCTGTATTTTAGTCCCATGTTTCTTTCCTGTAAGTTTGAGAACAGTAAGTGACATGATTTTTCTTAAATGGTCATCATGGGAGCAGTGCCCAAAATATTTTTTTTCAAAATTTTGATGCAATATTACATAACGTTTAACAGCATAATGACCATCAATTTTTAATAATAAAATATTAGTATTATGGATATTCAGAAAATGTGACTAGCAAAGGTCTTCAGGCCCATGGAACTTCAAAGTCACAACTTGAAAATGCCAAAATGTAAACAAGACAGCACTGTTCTGAAATGTTTTTTTTTTTTTTCATTTTTAACACTTTTTTAACATAAAACAAAATTAACAGTTTACTGCCATTTTTATATAACCAACTACGAAAATTGATGAGATGTGAAAAATATCAATAGAACAGTGTCAAATGTCCAATTTCCTCCATTCTGAGTTTCTGAACATAGTGAATGATTGAATCTTACAAACTGCAATGATATGAGTTTATTTCCATTTTTGACACTTTATTACACAATATTCGATAACAAGTTTACCATCATTTTTACATAATCAACTAACAATGTTGTAAAGATGCAGGAAATGTCAAACAAACACTTTTAAGTATCTTATTACTTAAATAATAAGGCTATTAACATGCCTAAGAATTAAATCTGAGGAAATCTGAGGAAATGTCAAAAAACCGCTTAACTTCTAAAATAATGCCCCGATTATGCTGATTTTCGAACTCAACCTGCGTTTTAGTAAGACTGACCATTCCTGTGAGTTTAATGACAATTGGGCTTTCTGTTTTTCTTATAATGTGTTTACAGTGTTGCATATATGCTGAAAAATGAAAAAACAGCATAACTACTAAAATAGTGGCCCGATCATGCTGATTTTCGAACTTGACCTGCGTTTTAGTAAGATTGATTAATCCTGTGAGTTTCATGACAACAGGCCTATCAGTTTTCCTTAAAATGTGTTAACAAGGTTGCATATATGCTGAAAAATGAAAAAAACAGCATAACTTCTACAATAATGGCCCGATCATGCTGATTTTCGAACTTGACCTGCGTTTTATGAATATTTATCAGCTCTGTAAATATAAAGCCAAAAAGTAAAACTGTCTTCCACTTATCGTGTTAACGATGAAAGTGCACGGCGACGGCGACGGCGACGGCGACATCGACGGCGACAGGGACGGCGACAGGGACGGCGACGGCGACGACAGACGCAGGTGATGGCAATATGTACAGACACATCTGTGTCTGTACATAAAAAGCTTGACTTAATTTCATGCTTGTGTAATACTGCTGATATAAAGAATACATTTCGAGGCCTGTTACCAGTCTGCGTTGAAATTAAGTTTGTATCTGCAATGTTATTTTTAATTTCTGAAAGTTTTCATTATGTGGGCTTTGCCGTATGAATAATCATTATCAGAAATGTGAGACCAATTGTATTAACCAGTCCTGTCCTATTGGTATATATGTTAGTGGAGTGAACTTTACATAGAACTAGCAATATGGGGGTTATTATCTTGCAGTATTTCATATATAAGTACTGGATATGTATTTGCCATAATTATTATTTTTACGTATGTAGTGTATTTCAGTTCTTTTAAAAATGTTGCGTATTTTAAATAGTGCATTTAATTATGGAGAGCACACCTACCCCTTGTTATTGCATGTCAACAGGTAGCATTTTTATTTCTTGTTAAACGGGAGAAAAAACTACATTTTTCTTGTAAATGAATTGTTCACATTGTACTAGAATAAAAAAATACTTTATATTTAAAGACATACATTCTGTATTTGAAGATGTCCCAAAATTTTTAATGTCTATATATTTTGCAAAAACACAGACTGTTATGAATTCTTGTTTTAGGAACAGTGAATGCAGTATTATGCTTGCAATGAATACACTCCACACCCAACATCTAATGAATGATCCTGAAATCAAAAACCGGATCAACTGACATAATTTTATTGATCTAGGTGTCAATTTTCATATATTGGATCTTAGTTGACCAAATGTTTTAATTAGTCAGTAAAAGAACTCCACCAAACTCACCCAAGGAATTTCATGATATGAGAATCGTTTCACCTAGTAATAAATCTTGACATCAAGTCTTCATAGCAACACCAACACAGGAATCAAATGTTTGCACCTTGTTTCCAAACTAGGTAACACAGACAACTTTGGCATGTTGTAGACTATCAATTCATACAAAATATCACTTTAAGGTAATTACTATGCCCACAGTTGTTTTCCTCATGAAATGTTTTATATTATTTGATGATTATTGATGAATTTCAAAAAAATCTTGCAGTAAATAAATCAGAGACCTGCACTTTCATAAACAGGAAAAAGGACCAATTTTCACTTACTTCCACTGCTGACATTAATTGCTTTGCTTTCCTTTAAAAGCTTTGAGAGAATGGCCCCCCTGAGCTGAAAATGTGAGGCAAAGTCGTCTGCATGACCTAGCTTTGAACAGAAGCACTCCTGTGCTGCAACTGGAAATCTTAGTGCTTTAGCTGTGAAAGTGATTGTGTTTTTGAGTCACCAATTATATAAAGTCTGACTGAGAACAGGGGTCCTCTATTTACATCGCCTCCTTTCTCTCCTTCCATTCCCCAGGAATGAACCTCTCTTACATGGTGAAAGAGACTTCTTAAATGGTGAAAGAGACTCCACAGGGCAAATTTTCTCTTGACCTTCTTAACATCTTTTGAAGCTGCCATTTATAAAGAGGTTAAAAACCTGTTGCTCCCATTTT